CTGTTACCAAGAAAACAATATGGATTTATTTGTTAATTTTATTTTATGAATCTGTATTTGTGGCTCATCCTGATTAGGATTTTACATATCTAGGTAAACTGCAAATCAAATCAAAAAATGGATTAACAAATAAAAAATCCCTTGGGCATGAAAAAAATACTGAAAACTATTTATAAGTTGAAGCTAAGGTACATGTTATCTAAGGTCGCATCTTCTGCACAATCCTGACTACCAGAAATACTCTCTGAAAGCCATCTGTAATTCTTACAGTGATGCATTCATACTCATTTTCCTCTCTCTCTAAAAGTACTATCTTTTAGTAAATAGTCTTCATGATCTCTTCTGATCTTTTTTTTTTTAACCATTGATTAAAGCCTAATCCTCCTATTGAGATCGATCTCTTAGTTTAGTAAAGTAAATATTAATATAGTTTTAAACAGCAGCGTTTTTGAGTTGACTCTGTGTTCATGTCTGGTATTGATTACATTTGTTTACTTTATGGAAGGGCATAATTGAAATTAAGAAAGTGGCTTGATATATCAGTAGCTGATATACTACACCTTCATGTTCAGCGGTGCAGAGGGTTTATGCCTTTTCTAAGATATAAACAATAGTAGGACAGAAAGATATTTTTCCTCTTTTCTTTTATGTTACATTTTTCAGAGAAGATAATAAAAAGAGGTGGATATTAATACATGTATTTTAAAAAATTAAACACCAGCATGCAAATAATGTTTAGGAATCTTAATTAAGCACATCCTACCAGATGTTTAATGTAACTGGTTGCAATAACAATTCTACATCCTACATTTCTTTTGCATTTCTTCTTCATCCTAATTATATTTCCACAGTACTTTTGATGGCTTGAATTTTGTCCACATGTTTCTGCCTTATCCCTTTGTCTCCTGTAAACTTAACAGGAGGCATTCGTCTTAATATGCACTGTTATTGCTACAGTCAATAATATAATTCCTCATTCATGTGAGTTAATCTCCTTGTGGCATATGGTGCTTGCTCTCACCCCCTCTTTTCACAAGGCCTGTCGTTGTTGTACTGAAAAGATACCCTTTATAGTTCACAGTCTGTGCTCCATGTTGTATAAAAAATGAGATCAATACAGGGTTACTTTTACAGCCACTTCGGTTGCTGATTAAAGTATTCACCAACTAATAAAGGATTAGACAGGTTAAACATATAACTGAAAATAAAGAGCATGTTGAAACTGTAGGCTTTAAAGAGTGCCTGAAATGTTTAATGTGATAGTGGAGAGGAGGAACTAAATATGTGGCTTTCAGTGTGGCTGTGTGGCAAATACAGAGTGGGTGATGCTTCAGTCGTTTTTTAATAGCACTTTGAGGATCATTTCTTTTTAACATAGAGATTCATTGCATGTGCATGACCATGTAAACATGATAGCATTGCTGGATGTCAGGACTGGCGTCTCTATTAAACAAGCTGATTTATTTACAAACTGCATTCATATCTCACCTTTCCTTCAAGAATGCAAGGAAATGCATAGATATCCGTTCCCCTTTACTTATATTACCTTTATTATTCCATACTGTCAGGTAAGTCTGAGAGGTTGTGATAGCCTCATTCAAACAGCTTCACAGCTGAGTGGTGAAATAAACTTGGATCTTTCTAGTTCTTGTTCAGCAATTAAAAAAAATGCTTTTGTTATGAGTCAGGCAGCATAAATGTTTCAGTAAGTACCCACTGTTGATAGAAACTGCAAGGTTGTCTTTGACTGAAGCAATATTTTTGGCTCTCATTATTTTTATTCCAAAAATGTGCATGTTTAATCACTTTTAAAAAATACATTGAATTTTGGGGTTATGAAGGAAATATTCTGATATTGCCACTTAGGGATTATAAAATGTATAATAAATTTAAATAAATGCTAATGTTTAATCTTTCTTCCTTCATGTCTATGTGGTGGATTGAATCAGGCTTGAATCAGTTCAATAAGATAAGTGAAGCTTATGTTAATATGTTGAGGCCTGGATACAAACCTGTGCATTTCAAGAGAAGTATTTCTGATCGATGTGATCAACAACAACAAAAATCCTATCAAAATTTCTGCCGCTCATTAATTTCTTAGAAGGATCTTAGAAAAGATTTATATTTAGCCCTACATTTCTAAAACACTTTTTAAAAAGCATTCTGATTTGTGCTGGAAATTTAGAAGTGACAAAGAAACCTTTGCCTACTATTAGTTGTCCTGCTAGAGATTTATAGAAACAAATGATATTAGTATTTTAAAAGAAAGTTTGATTTAAACTCTAAAATATTTCTGTTAACAAGAAATAAATACACTATCTGATGGTAAATGAAAGATATGCATGAAATGCTGGTGGTCTCAGATGCCTAAATCAAGAGAACGTCATATTAAATCATAAGATACAACCTTCCAAAATAAGTTACTATGGGCATTATAGTTAAACTGAATATATACAGAAAATAACTTTGAAAATAAATGTGATTGCTTTACAAAATATTCAAATGTAAACTATGATATTATAATAAATGATTTGTTTTTTCTGTGTAAGTATTGCATCATTTATTTATGCTTTGTTTTTCCCAACATATTATCATGGCTCTTTAAATATATTTAAAATGTGTTCTAAACTATTCAGCAACAAGTAGAGCTATTGTATACAGTGTCTTTCTAATTTCTCAAATTTCAGTGCAGTGGTCCAATAACAGGAGAACCAAAATGGAGAATACAATATATTTGTATGTTTGCTCATAGGGTCAGTTGTTACAGTGACAAAACAGTCTCGACATCGAGTCATCTTGCAGCTCCCTGCGAATGGGGGTCGTGATTGCCCAGAGACCTTATATGAAGAAAAAGACTGTGACCCTCCTCCTGCCTGCTTGTTTTATAGGTGACTTTTTTTTTTTTTTTTTTACTTAAAGCTCCCTTTGACTTCAGTCACGCTAGAACACATGGGCCATCTTTTGGGGGCCAGGAATCACACTTAAATGTTTTGGAAGTGACCCATGTTACATACATGGAGGGAGGTGGAAGTTTCTTTTGGGGAAGCTGTACTTTTTATAGCAATTTGCCATTTTCCTTTATTTATGAAACTGTAAGAAGCCTGTCTTATATACACAACATTGGCTGATCTTGGAAAAGCTAACTAAGGTTTTAGATGGTTAGATGGTTGAATGGAAGATAACCCGGCAAACCCAGGGTTATAGATTAGACCAGTGTTTCTCAACCTTCGCAGTTGAAGTCCATACATCTTGAAGTTGCCAAGGCTGAAAAACACTGGATTAGACTGAAAAATTAAATATCAGAGAAGAATGCTGTGGCAAATTATTTCTTCGCTGTTACCAAGAAAACAATATGGATTTATTTGTTTAGTCATCAAGCCCTTTGGAACATCTTGAAGTGATCCAAATCCATTGTACTTTTAAAGACTTAGGTACTTAGGTGTGTCCTAGATCTACTGCACATTTGACATTCTGCTTAGACCAGTTTATCTTTTATACGAGCGGAATATATCCCATTCAGATGAATTGTGGCAGAACCAGGTTCCTTAGAGTTAAGAACTGCAGAGGGGATTTCCCCCTGAATACTGAAGATCCAGTCCAGAAGACAATTCCTGTAGAATCCCATCCTCCTGGAATATCTTTCCTTTTCCTTGTCAACAGTAGTTATTCAAGTGATGAGCAACTTTGATCCTCTAACAGACATACCACTTAAAATCACTGGGAGATTGTAGCTCAGAACAGTAATTGCTGTTCCTTGAAGGTACAAGGAACTTAGCTTAGGGCTACCAAAGGTGCAGGGGGGAAGAACCTAGCAGATTTTTTTTTTTTAATGGGCACTTTAAACATTGAAAGAATCACTAAAGAGCTTCCCCTTGTACCATTATTGTTTCTTTGGATGTATTTGCCCTGCCCTCTCAAAAAGCAACAGTTTATTTGACAACAACTTTATTTTGGAGTGCAGTTCTTTTCTGCCTAGTTTACACTGTTAACACTTTAACAGACTGCCTGAATAAAACATGGTTGCGAAGATGGGTAAGAATGTACCTTTATTTTTTAGTAGTCACTTGTTAGTATCTGTTTGCCCTTGATGTAGTTTCTTAGGATCTGTGCAATTTGCTATAATTAATTGAAACCCATTAAGATTGATTTTTGGGGTGGAGAGAGGACAGAAGATCTGTGAGATTAGAGCGGAAGGTATAACTCTGTTCTCACTTGAATATTCTTTGCTTGTCTGAAGCATTGGTAAAGAGCATCAAAAGAAAGCACTAATGCCTGTCTTGTGGTACTTTTCAGAAATAACCAACTGACATGTATGTTTTTTCAAAAAAAAAAAAGGATGAACATTTATAATCTTCATTAGGAAAAAACAGTGCTTATGACTGATGCTCTTGTATAATAACTAATATACCCATCATGATAATATCACTCCAGGCATCTCAATCTATTGAAGGACCAAGAGAATAAGGAGTACAACAGTAATCATGCTATTTATTTCTTGCACTTTGAAAAGCTTTGTATGTTCTTTCAGAATTGAAGGTATAATACAATGCATGTGGCAAAAATTCTGAAAAAAATATTTAAAAGATAGAAATCTGGAAACAAAATCTCAGTACTTTTTTTATGTGCACTGTATGTGTGAAAACTGTTGAACATGAGAGGACACAAAGTTATGAATACTCCTTTCAGAAAACACTCATGAGATCCCTGCAGGTGTGTGAATAAATTTATACAGCAGTAAATGATTTAATGTCATAAGTGTCTGGAAAATTCTATAAGCACTTTTTTTTTTTTAATGCATGGCTTTCACACAGTTTCATTATTCAGATCAACGTTGTTGCTATTTTTAAGGTTATGACCTTTATACCTTCATTTTCTAATCAACATTAGAATGACTTCTGTAGAGAGTCACAGTAGAAACACTCCTGTACTAACTTTAGTTAAATAGGAGCTTAAGGGCACATACTTACCAGGCACCGGTTTTAAGTTTTGCATAAAATAATTTAAGAAAATGGTTATCCTGGAAATAATTTTATTAGTGGTAACAATGTATTTGTGATTTACACAGCCATATAGGATCAATTATGAGAAATACACACTTCTCCAACTTGGGTCCCCAGATCTTGCAGATCTACGCATTTCCATTATGCGGGATCATTGATCATGCTGACTAGAGATAATAGAAATGATAGCCCAACATCATTTTGGGAACATAGACTGAGAAAGGCTGTCTGCTTTGTTAAGATCTAGCTGTTAGTAAGGTTATTACTTGGGGTGCACTACTTTAGGCTGCATATATAGCTTATATGATCAAATATTGTCTTTCACACAGAAAAGATACCTGCACATAAAAGATAGTTATAGGAAAACTAATGTCCAACTACTATCTGAAGGATATAGTTGAAATATACGTTTACTCTCTCGCAAGAACCAGGAACCTAAAATAACAGGTGTATGTAAAATATATTTCATGTATCTAGAACATAAGCCACAATTTCTAGTTTTGTGTATCAGACACAGATATGTGCAGTAAATAGGATTGATCATCCTTGGACAGAGTGACAAATATGCATTCATTCCATGAGTGTGCAGTTTGTAGAGTACTGTACTTAAGAGGCTGAGATCATTTTTGAGGTGGGTGTGCGTTATTTAAAAAGTGAGCATTGGTAATGTATATCATGACAAAGATTAGAAATACAAATAACCATCTAGTTGCTGGCTACAAAAATTGCCTCAGCCACATTTTTTAAAGATATCAAGATAATCAGCATAAAGATTACAGATTTAATTTTGATTTCTGTTTAAGTGAACAGAGCAAAACATGGAGTGAAATGGAAGGTCATGAGAATGTTTTTCTATGTCTGTGTTTATTCAGTTTAAGGTAGAGTCTCTCACAAGTAATGAAGATGTGATGGACATATCTATGTAGCTTTCTTGATGACAAAAAAGTAGTTTGTTGTTGCTTTCTTCTGGGATTATTATTAATATTATTATTGCAGTTTTGAAATTTCCTGGTGATTTCCCATCCAAGTATTAATCAGATATGATCCTGCTTTTCAGGATCAGCCAGGATCAGCTTGATGTTGTCACCCTGTTAGGCTTATTCAGATTAAGCACAACAATTGTTGTGACCTGTGTTCACGTGATCATTTTTTTGCTACAGATGGAAGACACACAAATGGCGCCGATGCCAACTTGTACCATGGTATGTTCGGCAAGACAGCCCAGGTGCCCAAGAGACATGTGGTCCAGGTCTACAAGCAAGAGGTTAGAACTACTGAAACTGTGATTTATGATATCCATCATATGCCATTTTCACAACAGGAGGTCATTGTTGTATTTACAGTGCATTTGGAAAGTATTCAGGCCCCCTTCACTTTTTTCAATTTCAGCCTGATACTACAATCGTTCAAATTCATTTTTTTTCTCATTACTCTACACTCAGTACCCCATTATGACAAAGTGAAAACAGAATTTTAGAAATGTCTGTAAATTTATTAAAAAGAAAAAACTGA